CATAGGGGTTGAGACTTAGGGTTTCAGACCTCGGGTCTGGGGTTTAGGTTCTAGGGTTTAGGGTTTAGGGTTTCGCGTGGAGAGGGCTGCTCCTTACTAGTAGAATTCCGTCCGCTGGTAGAACTTCCTGGGGAGGGACCCTGACGATGTCCCCGGCCTGCAGCAGTTCAGCGCTGATGGTGATTTCCTCAGGATCATTTCTCTGTGTCGTTTGTATCTCCGGTTCTTCTGCTGTTTCTTCTTCTTCTCCGAGCAGGTCTTTCTTCTGCTTGCAGCAGCAGGAGGGTTTGCCGCTGTCGGGTGCCTCATCTGCTTCGTCTGCATCTGCAACACCCCAAGAGGCGGGCTGAGTGAGCGGGTTGTACATATTGTTTATAATTCTTCCTCTTTGCACTCCGCATGCGACTAAGACCTTCTGCCACCACTGCAGCGGTGCGGCGGGCTGTTGCAGGCCGTCGTCTGAGGCATCTGCTGCAGCAGCGTTGGCTATCTTCAGCAGCGCTTCCAGCGACGAGCTGCTGTTCACCCCTTGTGCTTCTCCTGATGCAGCAGCAGACGGAGGAACCACCTGCTGCAGGCAACGCGCAACTGCAGCGTCTGTCGAACGGAGCACCAAATTCACCGACCGCACCTGCAGGCTGTGGAGGCTGCATATTCCAAAGAAGCAAAACAAACGATTAGATGCGTTTCAAAAGGGTAAAAGAACAAAGTTTGGCGTTTCACATTCCAAAGAAGAAAACAAATGAAATGCATTTCGAGGGGGTAAAAGAACAAAGTTCAAAATTTCACATTCTAAAGAAGAAAACAGATGAAATGCATTTCAAGCCGGGAGTTTCACATTTCACATTCTACAGAAGAAAAAGAAACTAAATGAATTTCAAATAGATACAAGAAACTAAAAGAGTGAAACTTCATATTTCACATGCCATAGAAGAAAGGCAAATGAATAGATGCATTTCAGAGGACCTATTCATAGTACTCTCGCACGTAGACACATCCCGCACGCACCTGTGTAGCTGCTCCAGAATCCGGGCCTTTGCTCGCAGCTGCAGCAACTGCAGCAAGACAAACAGCACACGCTTATGCATGCAGATGGATAGCCATGCATCGCATGCATGCACATGCATTGCAGATGCACGCATATGCATGCACTTCTTAAATTCATTTGAAGTGAAACCCCTGCCATTGGCGCCAGACACTATGAACATTATGAGAAGCAACATCTCCGTCTGTCAGGAGCCTTTGGAGGTTTTCTCAACGTATGCAGCGCTGGAAGAGTTGCTGCTGCTTGCATGGTATCGCTGTTGCTTGAAGTGTGCTGCAGCTGCTCGAACTGTGTTGCTGCTGCAGTATAAAATGCCCTGCATCAGATGCAAGGAGAGACGCATTTGCCGAGCTTACTTTGCCAAGTAGGACGACGCAGATGAGCATGACGCAGGTGTCTAAGAAGACCTGAGGTTCTGCCCCTTCCAGAAGTTCATAGAATGGGCTGATGCTGTGGTTACCAGGGTTGGTAGCTCCAGGATGCGCTGCTGCTGCCGCTGCTGTTGCTACTGCAACGTCCGCCGCAGACAGCAGCGGCTTGCACCACACGCGTGTTGCTGCCGACTGCATGCACGACAGGGCGGAGTAGAAGAAGGCCAAGTTGCTCCCGAGGGACACGAGGAGGTCCATGCTGAACTGTCCATGTCGCAAGCCCTACAGCGGACGACAACCTGCCCTGCTCAAACCTGTTGGCTCTATTGCTGCTGTTGCCGCAGGTGCGCGAGGAAGCGTTGATGCATGTACGCATGCATCGTGCATTCAGGGAGTCTCCATTCGACTACCGGGGATCTCACCTTCAAAGCCGCTTGGTGGAAGCTGCGGCCGCCGTAAAACTGGACAGGAG